TGTGCACTTTTGAAAAAGCCCACAATGGTTCTGACCAGGATAGCTTCTTGCATAGCCCTGTCTATCTATAGCAACAATAATTGTGTAGATACTTGATATTTAGCTTTACTGGCACCTGTTTGGAGGGTGTTAGAGCATAAGGATGTGTCAAAGTTTCCATTCTCCTTTGGACAACTGGACTCCAGAGTGTGGGTATGAAAATTAGACTAAGATAACCTGTCAAGCCACACATGTGAATTTTTATTGTACATTTAGAAGGAAGTCACTACTGAAAAAAACAGGAGTAGGGAACTGTAGGAAAGGTTGCCTAATTTTTTCCCTATAATTATTTCCAAGAGCATATTAACTGTATGTTCCTAACTTAAAAAACTCTAAACTGTAAATTAAAAACCCATGTATATGTACCTCTTTCTCCCTCTAGTCCAGTGCCTGATTTGGGAAGGACACTCAGTAAATATTTGCGGAATAAATGAATGAATATCTTGACTTTCTGTACATGGAGTTTTAGTCTGAAAGGAACCTTAGATCAGATGTGGCAAAATGGCAGGCTGTGGGCTGAGTCTGGATTGCAGATGTGTTTTATTTGGCCTGAACATTATCTTTAAAATGTTTGGACTACATGTCAATATTTTTAAATCAAGAGATTTTACATAGAAGTGATCAGATCTAGTAACACCATCCACATTCCTACACGTCAACAATACGCTAGAGCCGCGTAGTGCAGGGCATGAAAGGTCCAATGTGCCACAGTCCGCATACTCCCGAGTATCTAACAGCTATAATTATAGGCTAAGATCAGAGAGCATCTAGAAATTCCTTCTCCTTAAAACCCACACTAACTTCCCTGTCGGGAGATGACAGGGAGATCACCCAGGCATTCGTTGCTGCCCTCCTCACACAAGCAAATTTCCAATTGTAAATGAGGACATCAAAGTCCTATATACAAAGTTCTTTTCCAACACGTATCTCATCCCCTTACCTTGGGACACTAATCGTATCAGATCAGGGCTTCACCTTTCTGACCTCATTTAACCTTAACTACCTCCTTGTAGGCTCTATCTCCAAATACAGTCACATTGAGTGTTAGAGCGTCAACATATGAATTGGGGGAAGGGGAGGGGGGTGTATTTCAGTCCACAGCACCAGCCCTGGGCAATCACTAATCTGCTTTCTGTCTCTATAGACTTGACTATTCTGGGCATTTAATATAAATGGAATTATTTAATTAATATGTTGCCTTTTGCCTCTGGCTTCTTTCACTTAACATAGTGTTTTCAAGGTTCATTTATGTTTTAGTTCTTCATTCCTTTTTATGGCTAAATAATATTCAATTGTATGGATCTACCACATTTTGTTTATCCAGTAATCAGTTGATGGACATTTGACTTGTTTGTACTTTTGGCTATTATGAATAATGCTGCTGTGATCATTCATATAGCAAGTTTTTGGGTGAACATATGTTTTCAATTCTTTTCCTCCTAGGAGTACAATTATTGGGTCATATGGTAACCCAATGTTTAACTTTTTGAGAAACTGACAGACTGTTTTCCGAAGGGGCCGCATTATTTTACATTCCTACCAGCAGTGTATGAGAGTTCCCATTTCTACACACTTTTGTCAACACTTGTTATTATCTGTGTTTTTTATTAGCCTGCTGTCTGTGAAGTGCTATCTCATTCTGGGTTTGATTTGCATTTGCCTGGTGGGTAATGGTGTTGAGTATCTTTTCATGTGTACAGAAATGTCTGTTCAGATCATTTGCCCATTTTTGAATTATTGAGTTATAAGAGATCTTTATGTGCTCTGGGTATTAGACTCTATTAGATATATGATTTACAAATATTTTCTCTCAATCTGTGGATTGTCTTTTCACTAGTGTCCTTTGAAGTACAAATGTTTTTAATTTTGATGAAGTCCAATTTATCTATTTTTTTTTCTTTTGTTGCTTATGGTCTTTGTATCATATCTAAGAAACCATTGCCTAATCTAGAGTCACAAAGATTTATGCCTAGGTTTTCTTCTAAGAGTTTTATGATTTTTGCTCTTACATTTAGGTCTTTGATCCACTGGAGTTAATTTTTGTACAGTATGAGGTCACATGCTGTTTTTGAAAACAAGTTAAAATGATACATAATTAGGTGTTTAAAAAATATGCAAGTATGTTTCGTTTTAGATGAAAATCGTGATATTTTGCTAAATGTACCATTTAATGGAAAGAAAATAAACTTTAACTCCTAATGAGGCTGCTAGTTTCAAGTCTTACTTAAAAAATTTGATAAGCTAAGAATTGTTAGAAAAGGCTTTTGAAATTTTTGTTTTTCAAAAATCAACTGCTTTGAATAAAAAAAATCTTTATTCTATTATAATTATATGGCCTTCAGTTTAAAGCAGTGGTTCTTAATCTGGGCCAATTTTGTTCCTCAGAGGACATTTGGCAATGCTGGGAGACATTTTTGGTTGTTACAACTGGGGGCATGGTGCTACTGGCGTCTATGAGAAAGAGACCCGAGAGGCTGCAAAGCAATCTACAGTGGGTAGAACAGCCTCCACGACAAGGAGGTTCTCGCCAAAATGTCAATTGTGCTGAGGTTGAGAAACCCCGCTTTAACTAAATCAGTGGACTCTATCAGATAGATTTGAAAAGAGACATGAGTTTGCAAACCCTTTTCTCCTCAGTTATACCTTATGGATTTCTCCCATCGCAACACTGAGCCAGCATGTGCCCCAGCACCTCACTGCCATCAAAACCCCAGAGCGACAAAGATCTGCAGGCCTTCCCTTGTGGGATCACGGGTGAAGCATTAGCACTTGCTTTCAGGGCTTCATTCACTTTATATTTGTGTGTTTTCATTTTTTGAATTTTATATTATATTTGGATAATGCGTTTCCTGTTAAACATACATATTTGGGTAACCCATCTCCCACTAAAATGTATTTTATCTGTTATATAACAGCAGTGGTAATAAGTAATCATTTTTGAGTGTTCACTATGTTGGGCACTATGCTGAGACTCTTCCTGTTTATCTAACTTAATTTTCTCAACAAGTCTATGAGAGAGTGACAATCATTATTCACATTTTATAGCTGTAGGAACCTAGGCACAGTGAGATTAGGGGACTTGTACAAGATCATATAGTTGGATCATCCTTACCCAAGTCAGGGCTTAAGCCTGACGTGGGCTCAACTGTCAGGTGCAGGCATGTGACAAAAATTTTAGATTATTAATTATGGATAATCACATATGGACATTTGCAGGGCAGTGTTCTCTCACTCCCTTACACCACAGTGAGCATCCTGCCATGGTAGAGAAATGGACACACACACCTAGCACGAGAAGTCCATCTAACCATGGACATGTCCACAGAAGCATGGCTCACCTGGGAGCATCACCTGTCCTGCCTATCGTAGTAGACAATATCTGAGAACTTCTGCTTAAGGAAAACTGGAATGTGCATGGCATCACTTACGTTCCTCATACTCATCCCCAAATCAGCCTAGGCTTGATTATCTACCCACTGGCTGTCCTCTCATAAAATGCTCCAACTCCCCAATGTCTCTCTTGACCTGTGGCCTAAGTGCATTTGCACACACGCCCAGTGAGGCCCTTATCCAGGGCACTGTGCCCAGCCCTGTTCACTTCCAGCCCTCCCAGAGGTGAGGTCACACCCCAGTCTCCCAATCTTGCAGCCACTAACTACTCTTAGTGGAACAGCACTGTGGTGTTAAACGGTGGTGAAACATAAGAAACCCACATTCAGTACACTGTAGCATTTCCCTCCCAAGCTTTTCCCCTCTGTGTTCCAGGCAGGTAGCTATCTTCCCCACTCAGAAAAGGCTTTCAGGGTAGGACTTGGAGTGTGTGTGAGTGACTGAAGGTATGCATTTTCATGGCACAAGGATTTGAGATGGAATGACTCTCCAATTTGGCCAATTTGGGGGTGCACAAGAAGTTGGGTGAAGTTCTGCCCTTACCTGCCTCCCGGGTATCCTCCGCTAGCTCTCCAAATGAAGGGGCAAGGAGTGCACAATGATTAGAAATGAAGATTTCCCTCCTCCCCCAAATCTGAAGAAGGACCCTGGGTTTTGTTCTAGATCTGTCCCTGGAACTCTTTGGACAAGTCTTTCCTTGCTCTGGGCCTCAGTTTCCCCTTGAAGGGAGGGTGTATGCACTAGATGATCTCTAAGCATCCTTGCAGCTACAAACTTCTTTGCCTCTCAAAGGTACTGGGAGCTGAGTTAGAGTGAAACCCATTAGGGCGATTCAAATCCACTTTAACTAGGGATCTGCTTGAGTAGTAAGCCCACACCTAGAAGCCTGCCCGTGTTTGAAGAAGAGAACGCAACAGTTGGTTGATGCTATCTTTCTTGAGAGACCCATCTCCAGGGGCGACGTTCAAAATATTTTTAACAACCAGTGTGTCATGAGCACAGACCCGTCGGGAGGTTAGAAGGCAGCGGGGAGGGCCGTGCCTCGCCCACCCAGCAGCTCTGCGGAGCCTTTCTCCAGCTTATTTCTGGTTCTGCTTCTTCCTGCCTGATTCTGTGTCCAGGGCACTAACTCAAACCCCTTTGGCTTCTTCTGTCTCCAACCACTTGATCTACTTCATGCATGCAAACAGCTTAATCATATTTATTGCTCAACAGACACTCTTTAAGCACCCCTCTGTGCTCAGTCCCATGCCGGCTGCCTTACCCCTCACGCCTCGTGTGCAAAAACGTTAGAGGCATGGACATGCCGGAGAATTGAGGGACTTGAGTCCTAGCCTCTCTCTGCCCCTCGTCTGCCATGTGACCTTGGGCAAGCCTCTGCCCCTCTGGGGGTTTCAGATTCCTTCCATGTAAAATGAGGGACTCGGAATGGATTCAGTGAATTCTGAGGTCCCTGCTGTTCAATGATGGATTTCAGGAGAAATGCAAGTCTTCAGCAGCTAACCACTCTCTCTTTCTCTCTTTCTCTCTCTCTCTCTCTCTCTCTCCTGCCCCCACCACCTCCAATGTAGAATGCACTGCTGCCTGCAGGCCTGAGGCAGAAGGATCAGACCACCAAGGCGCCCACAGGCCCCTTTAAAAGAGAGGAGCTCTTGGATCACTTGGAAAAGCAAGCAAAGGAGTTTAAGGACCGAGAAGATCTGGTCCCCTACACAGGGGAGAAACGAGGTACTGAACAATGCTGCTCTTGTGAATATATTATTCCCCATGCATCACTGAGTGCCAACTGCATGCCAGGCCCTGTGTTGGGCCAGATGTGACTGGGGCTCCTTGTCGTCATCCCCACCTGGCCAAAAAACACAAGCTCCACAGGCATCGATGTATGATGTGGAATTAGTGAAGTTTTTGGGTAGAATGAGGAAAGAATTAAGTCTACCCAGACCACCAAAACTTTTCCTTAAATACTCTTTCACTAGAGCATCCTGATTATTTTTCATACAAACCTAGACACTTCTGAGAGTGAAAAAGGGAACTATGAATAATGCCATCAGGACATGAGGCCGAAAGGAGGACTGTCCTATGCAAACCAGGAGCAAGAGATATCCTAACCAGCTCTGCCCTTCCTCCAAAGCTCCTCTCCCTCCAGAAGTTCAGCATCCATCCCTTCCTTCATAGGTCCCTGCAAGACTCTCTGGCACCTGGCCAGCACAGGGCCTGGCATACAGTAGGGTTGAGTAGAAAAGGCCCGAGGGAACAGAGAGCCACTCCCTGACTATCCGCCCTTCCAGGACTTCCTGTTGCCCTCCGAGCCATCTTGCCCTCCTCCTGTATCACTCTCGCCATTGCTTGCTGCCCTGCTGCCCACAGACCTCCTTCTGTTCCTCAAACTTTCCAGATCTTTCCCACCTCAGGACCTTTGCACGTATTCTTTATGCCCAGAATGCTGGTGCCACTGCCCAGTTCCATGCTGTCCTCATGGCTGGCTCTTTCTCCCCTGTAAGAGGTGTTGTAATGGTTAGAAACACAGCCTGGAGCTAGATCTACTTTGGTTACAATCCTGGTACTACCGCCTACTAGCTGTGTGAGCTTAAGTACATTTTTAAACCTGCTGTGCCTCCATATCCTCTTCCATAAAATGGGAATGATGGAAATAATAATCAGCCTCATGAGGCTGTTATGATGATCGAGTGAGTTAGTATATATATAAAACACTCAGAACAGCATCTGGCACATAGTAAATGCTATGTAAGTATTAGTTATTATTATTCCTTAGGTTTCAGCTGTACTGTCTTCTCTTTCAGGGAAGCCGTCCCTGTCTACTCTGTTTAGGACATTCAGTCCCCCTTCGGCTCCGTTCTTGGCTATTTTCCATCTCAGGAGCCTGTGTGTGTCCTTCACAGCAATTCACATTTTATCAGTATCTCTTTTTTTGTCATCTCTCTCAGTACCTGTAAAAGCTCCCTGAAGGCAGCAGATCTGGGCTGGTTTTGCTCACATAGTACCCCTAGCACCCAGCCAGCACAGGGCCTGGCGTACAGTAGGATTGAGTAGAGAGTTGTTGAATGAATGAATGAATGAATGAATGAATGAATGAATGAATGAATGAATGAATGAATGAATGAATGAATGAATGAATGAATGAATGAATGAATGAATGAATGAATGAATGAATGAATGAATGAATGAATGAATGAATGAATGAATGAATGAATGAATGAATGAATGAATGAATGAATGAATGAATGAATGAATGAATGAATGAATGAATGAGTTAAAATTAAACAAATGTGTAATGAACCTTGCGTGCTTCTTCCTTAAAATACGAGCTCATGAGTGCCAGGACCATATCTGACTTGTTCATTGTTATACCCCCAGCACCTGTAAATCGCCAGCACAAAAAGGCACCTAATAAATATTTGTCAAATGAAAGCATTCATTCTATTTATTTAATCGCATCATTAATTGTTTTTTTTTCAGTCTCTTCCACTTTCCCTACCCCCAGGAATGTAAGCGTGATAAGCCAAGGGTCCGTGTCTGTGGTTGTCATCTCTGACCTATTGCATTAGCACAATGTCCTGCACAGAGTACCTGCTTAACAAAAGATAAAATGAAAAAACACTCAGGAGCAGACATTGTGGGGAACACTTCGAGCCATTCCAAACCCTGTAATTGGAGCTCAGTCCAGGTTTTACTGAAAACTAGAAGGTGAGGGAGGCATCTGAACTTCTGAGGGATTGTTTGGTCTGAGGCATCTGGAGGAGGTGGCAGGAGAGATGGCAGAGATGACTGGGAGTGGAGGGGGTCGGGATGACAGTGTGTGTTGGTTGGGGCGGGGGGAAGTGCTTGACCATAAAGAGCTGAGTATGCCCAGTGGAGAGTATGGACACCAGGGATATTTTTAAGCAAGGGATTTGTGCCATGAGGAATGATTTCTGTGGATTTCATAGAACCTTAAAACTCCCATAGTCCCACCTGCACAATTGAAAAATGGGGAAACTGAGACCAAAAGAATCAGCAGCAGACCTGGGTGAACAGCTTGCGAATTGAGTCATTGCAGGCATCCACATCCTCATCCCTAACTCCACACCCCTCACAGGGGAGGAGCTGGAGGAGGTGTCAGGAATAGGGAGGGAGTCTGGCAGCACACAGACAGCTCCCGCCACCCCTCCACAGAATGCTGGCCTGGCTGGAGCCAGCAACACCTCTCTAGCCTCCCAGAGCCTGGCTGCCTTCATGAAAAACCAGACTCATCCAAGGAGGGTAGCTAGAATTTATCCTATTTCCATATAGCAGCAAGCCTAAAAGGCTCATCATCACCATCATCAAGTATTTAAAGGATGGTTGTTGGAATTCTTAGGGGTTGAATAAGGGGTGGGTTGAAGAGAGTGTCTCAGCAGAGGAGGTGGGGCAGCTCTAACTGGCAGACTCAGGGCCATTCAGTCCAGCCCTTGCTGAGCACTTACCCCACACAGGGCCTAGCTTGAGCTGAGGGGAAAGAGCACCCCAGTCACCTTAAGACCTGGCAGGATGTGGTAAGAGCCATAAACCGGTGTGAAAGTAATTCAGAGTAACTCCCTGCACTGAAAATAAGCACTGATCTCATTTCAGTGAAGATGTTTCTGGACATTTCTCTATGCACTTCTGCATCCTCCCCACCTCCACCACTGTGACCCTGGTTTACATCACCATAACCTCTCCCCCGACTATTGCGCCAGCTCCTAACCATCTCTCTGCTTCCATCCTCACCCCCTTCACGCTAGTCCCCATTCTCCATCAACAGCCAACATGAGCAGGGTTTTTTAAAAATTTGAGATAAAATTTACATAACATAAAATTAACTGTTTGATTTGATTTGATTTTTGAACAACAGAATGAGTCAAATTTGGATGACTGCAGCCAAAATTAACCATTTTAAAGTGAACAATTTAGTGGTACTTAGTACATCCACAGTGTTGTGCAACCACCACCTCTGTCTAGGCCCAAAACACTTTCACCCCTCCAAAATAAAACCCTGTATCCATTAAGCAGTCACTCCCCACTGCCCTCTCCCCCAACCCCTGGCAGCCAGCAATCTGTTTCTATGGATTTACTTATTCTAGTTATTTCCCTTAAATGAAATCATACAGTGTGTGACTTTGTGTGTCTGGCTTCTTTCAGTTAGCATAATGTTTTCCAGACTTATCCATGTTGTAGTATGTGCCAGTACTTTATTCCTTTCTATGACTGAATAATATTCCATAATTTTTATATCTACTCATTTGCTGATAGACATTTTGGTTTTTTTCTACCTTTTGGCTATTGTGATTAGTGTTGTGCCAGTATTTGTTTGAATACCTGTTTTCAATTCTTCTGGGTATACAGTAAGAGTGGAATTGATGAATCATGTGGTAACTCTATGTTTAATTTTTGGAGGAACCACCAAACTTCTTTTCCACAGCAACTGCACCATTTTACGTTCCCACCAGCAATGTATGAGCGCTCCAATTTCCCACATCCATGCCAATACTTATTTTCCATTTTTGTTTTTTTATGATAGCCATCCTAATGGGTGTGAAGTAGTACCTCACTGTGGCTTTGATTTGTATCTACCTAATGACCAATGATGCTGGGCGGCTTTTCATGAGCTTGTCAGCCATTTGTGTATCTGCTTTGGAGAAATGTCCATTCGAATCCTTTACCCATTTTTAAAGTGGGTTGTCTTTTTGTTGCTGAGTTAAAAGTTCATTCTATATGCTGGATACTAGATCCTTATCAGATATATGATATGTGAATATTTTTGCCCATTCTGTATAATGTCCTTTCACTTTCTTGTATCCTTTGATGCACAAAACTTTTTTTTTTTTTTTTTTTTTTTTTTTTTTTTTTTTTTCCTT